AATCATAAAATTAATATGCTATAAGTTAAATTAGTATTGAAATACAAATGAGTTGGGTCAATTTGGGGTAATTAAATCTTTTATCCAAAGAAATTATAAGTAATGAATAATGTGGGGGTATTGCCCAATGACAGACTGATACGGAAGATCCCGCTAGGTGGCAGCGGTGTTGAAATACCACAGGGGTCGGTAAACTTGATCGGTCCCGGCAGTTTCCGGATACGCGGAACATATCGCTAATTATTCAATTATATTAAAACTACAGGATTCTAATTAGTCATCGATGATTAAATAAATTGAAATTACTTGACCCCTAATAATGGAGTTCATGACAGATAACTTCTAATTTTTCGTAATTGAATTTGGGGGAGGCGAAATGGGGATGGGGAGAAGAGTTCTTATGGAAATATTCTATAAGATTTCCAATTGAAAACCCTATAGGATTCGCCTATCGTAAATCCTATAGAATTGGAGGAGAAGGAGAAGAGAAGGGGGGACGTATTCACATAAGAATATTCTGTAAGGATTGCTATAAAAAATCCTATAGAATTTACCTAGGTAAATCATAGAAGATTACTATATAGGCAAGTATGACAGTTTACTAATCATTTTTCGTCTTTCGAAGGGCAATGGTCGTGGGGGAGGCGACCAGGGGGAGGGGGGACAAACTCATATGAAAATATTCTAGAAGATTTTCTATAGAGCATTTTAACCAAAAGGATTGAGTCTCGTTTGAACCTTCGAAGAGAGCAGACGTGTTTATACACAGTGCGTTCCCGGAGAGGTAATCGACTGCCAATTAGTCGGTATTCTCTTAGTTCATTCAACGAGTTCATATACGATTTGAGTGTGCTTAATGCAATAAGTGAAAAAGCGTATTAAAAAAAAAACAACAAGAACAAAACCCCCTCGAGGGTAAACTGGTGTAGTCCGTTAAATTTTTGGAAGCAAAGATTTACGGGGGCAACATGGCCGCACCACCAAAGTCACCAAATTCCCAAAGGCAAAGTTATAGTAGTGCTACAAAGTCAAGACCAACGCGGGAAGATGCTATTGTAATGGATTATGTTCAAGACAGCAAACTCGAAGAATACATGTGGGCTCTAAAGGACATCTTGAAGGATGAGAAGAAAATGCGGTATATATCGCGCATCTCAGGTAACCGAATTTGTTGTTACCTACAGAATAAGGAACAAGTAGCCGATCTTCTTCACACTAGTGGATCTATAAAAATTAGAGAGAAAACTACACAGATCAGAGCCCTAGTAGCCCAGAGCAGAAAAGTCATCATCTCCAATGCTCGTCCAGAAATTCCAGATCGTGCTCTGGAAGAAGTTTTGGCGAAAGCCTCAGTGCGTTGTAGGTCCGGGATAACTGAATTCACAGCTAGTGCGACCAATAGCATTTTCTCACATATCGGTAGTTTTCGTAGACAAGTTTTTATCGACCCAGAAGACATCGAAAAAGTCCCAAGCCTGGCTGCCATTGAATTTGAAGGCACCAAATACCATGTGTATTTCTCTTCCAAGAAAATCTCTTGTTTTACCTGTGGGGGAGAGGGGCACATTGCCACAAATTGCCAGGAAAATATTGACAATGGCTCACAGAATATTCCAAACAATACACCAATAGAAGTAGACAACAACCCGACTAACACCAGCAATGCCGACAGCAACAAGGATTTACATCTCCCTCTTGTTGATTTCGCAGCACCTCTCGCCCCGGTTAACATGAATAGTAAGGCCATGACCTATTCCCAATCTCCAGATAAATCGATGGAAATCATGAACGAAACTGTTAGTAAACCAAATACAAAACGAGCACTCTCTAGTACAACAGGGGAGGGGGGAGAGAGCGCTGCTTCCCTAGAAGATAACAGGTGGGCTCTCCTAGCAGAAGATCTATCCTCGGATTGCGGATCTGAATCGAGTCACCAACCAACATCCGAGAAGGCCAAGAAGCCAACACCAAAAAAGAAGAAGATCGATAGTTGGGAAGAGACAGATAAATACATGAAAGAATCAGGTAAACAATATCCTTTAAGTAGTAAGGAAACTGAGAGCCTCCTTGAGGCCAGGTCAGTTGACCCCGATCTAACAATAGATTCTCAATAAGAGAATCGTGCTCAATATTGAATCCTCTTTCTGCTTTTTTCTATCATATACAATCACAACACGCATTATTTATTCTCAAAAACTCTCTCCAAATACATCTTCACTGAACTAAACGCTATGAACGATCAGAATAACCCTCAGAATATAACCAAGGGCCTCAGAATACTAGTATGGAACGTCAGATCTTTACGAAGAATTAAGGAAGAGATTCCAAAACTACTAGAAAACCTAGATATATTCATTTGTTTCGAGACACGCTTGGATCCGGCGACAGTTCCAGCAGGTCAATTCACATTCCCGGGCTTCGTCACATATCGAAACGACAGAAATTACTTTGGAGGAGGGACGGCAATTTTTGTTAGAAAAAATTTGGCTTATTTGGAAATAAATAACTTAAATATTCCAGATGTCAGAATTGAAATGTGCGCCTTGAAGTTTAACAACGTCCAGCCAGAGTTCACACTATTCACTTGTTATCGGTCGCCGGGATTCACTCTCTCTCAGGACAAATGGGATGAGCTACTATCCAATTTGGATGATCATGCTAATGTATTATTGATGGGAGATTTCAACTCCCACCACACAAGTTGGAACTGTCGTCGAACGGACGCAAATGGCGTAAGATTCTTAGAAACAATTACAAAAAAAGATCTATACATTCACAATACTGATACACATTCTCACCTCGATGCAAACTCGTTATCCGAATCGAATATCGATCTTTTACTATCAAACGTTGTAATAGCAGACAAAATAAATTACAGAATGGGTGATGAGCTGATGGGATCGGATCACTTTCCTCTCTACATTAATCTGCAGGTAGAGAGGAACTATTATCAGAAGAAAACGTTCAAGTTGTATACGGTAAAGACAGACTGGGATAAATTTTCACAATATCTTGAAAATAAATACGAAAGATTTCTCGACTTTGAATTTGATAATGCCTCGCCAGTGGATAGATACACCTTTTATACCAAAATCATCGAAGAAGGTATCCAGAATTCCACTCCGAATAAGCAAAGACGTAACAAGGAGAAAGCGAAGGATGTACCGAACAGCGAAGAAAAAAAGAAGAAAAAAAGAGGCAAACAAATTCGACGGATATCAAATCCACTAGGATGGTGGGACGCTGATTGCGACAAAATCAAACGGAAGAGAAGGGCAGTTTTCAAAAAATGGAAATTCTCAAAAAATCCGAACGATCGAGCAGAATATAAAAAACTAGTTGCAATAGCCAAAAGAACCTTCAAAAAGAAAAAGAGAAAATATTTTGTAAAGTTTGCTAAAACTCTGAACAGTAGAACAAATATAAAATACGTCTGGAACAAGTGCAGAATACTAGCCAATAAATGGGTGAAAACGAACGACAACAATCCCACTGAAAATCTTCAGTGGAAAAATAAAACTGAAAGCGCGATGAATAAACTCAGCCGACCATTTGCTGCCTCTAATCCAGAGTGGATACCTCAATGCCTGGAAAATTTATTCCTATCTGAACGTTTCGACTACACTGAGTTCAACGTGGCTTTGGAATCTAGGAAAGCGAAGTGTTCTCCGGGTCTAGATGGTATTGATTACGTAATTTTGAGAAAGTTATCGAACAAGTACAAATTAATACTGTTGGATATATTTAATGACATGTATAAATGTGGAGAATTTCCTGAGACGTGGAGGAAACATTTCATCCACTTCATATCAAAGCAGGATGGTGAAAATGTTCGACCCATCGCACTAACATCTTGTCTATCCAAGCTTTTTGAAACAATGACGAAAAATAGATTGGATTGGTGGGTGGAACATAACGAGATTATGAAACCCACTCAGACCGGGTTCAGAAAGGGAACTTCATGTATAAACAACCTAGCCAACATTACGATGAACATTAGCCAGGGACTTTCCAAGCGGGAGGATACTCTTGCTGTATTCCTGGATATTCGGGGAGCCTTCGATAACGTCAATAGTGACATCCTGCTGAGGAAATTGGCCGAAATTGGCTGCCCCAAGAACCTCGTACAATTCATCAAGTTTCTCACGTAGCAACGCGAGATATCATGTGCCGATATGGACCAAATTCGATATGTATACAAAGGAGTTCCACAAGGAGGGGTGTTGAGCCCACTTTTGTACTCGATTTATGTTTTGAACATCACAGAAAATGCTCCTGCGGGTGTAATCTTCTCGCAATTCGCAGACGACACTGCAGTATACTGTACAAGTAAGAATCTGTCTCAAAACATTGCAAAAATCGAAAGAGCTGTTGAAACCCTCAGGAGAAATCTGGAAAACTTAGGCTTGGAACTTGCACCTCCAAAGACACAGCTTGTTCACTTTACACTCAAACAAACAATAAAACCCGGAGACACTGCAATAATGATTCAAGATTGTAGGATCGAATCTTCACCGTCAGCCCGATTTCTAGGAGTGATTCTTGATCACAAACTGTTTTTCCGACTGCACGTGGAATACATCGAGAAAAAGGCCCTCAACGCCTTGAATCTCATTAAATTTCTCAGAGGGACCTGGTGGGGGTGTGACCCGGGTACGCTACTCCTCCTATACAAAAGTTATGTAAGATCAATGATTGAATATGCTCTCGGGATATATTATCCCACTACGAAAAAATTAGCATCCACTCTAGATAAAATTCAAAATCAATCGATCAGAGCACTCATGGGATACAGACACAGTACGCCCGTGAATGTCATCAACGCCGAAGCGAAACTTCCAAGTATCAGAGAAAGGACCAAATTTCTGTTGAAAAATTTCTATATAAAAGTCCTATCCAATAGCAAACTTCAATTCCATTCTACACTCGTTAAGTATATAACTAATGATCCTCTCATTAAAACAAGACAAAACAGGTTGATGTTTCAATGTGCTAGAGAAATGAGGCCACTAGTAGAACAGGTAGACTCGAAACCGTTCTTCAGCATCTACAACTACAATTATGAAGATGTGCTCACCAGTATTCCATACAATTCAGAGATTGGTGAAGAAATTAAGCAAACGGGTAACATTAGAATCATTGCAAAAAAAATTAGAGAAGGAAATGAAGAAATGTACGAAATATACACGGATGGGAGTAAGGTCAAAGGGACAAACAGCGTAGGAGCGGCTTGCTTCTGTCCACAGCTGGACGTTAAGATCACCAAAAGTATAAATCCTAAATCATCAGTGTTCACAGCAGAATGCATAGCATTGAACGACGCATTGGAATTAGCTCTCCGGCATACTGATCAAACAATTTGTATTTTTACGGACTGTCTCAGTGCCTTGGAAGCTCTTAACAGGCCGAAACTTTTAATTAAGGACAACGACTATCTGTTGCAAATTCGAAAGAAATTTAATGAATTTAAGAACAGATCCACCTTTGCTGAAGAACCAAAACTATACTGGATCCCGTCTCATATGGGCATATTCGGAAATGAGGAAGTCGATCAATTAGCGAAATCAGCTACAGAAGTCATTCGACCTGAAATTTCGCGCATTCCATTCACCGATTTCAAAGAAGGATTTCGAATAGCTTCAAAGAAAAACACATCTGAACAGTTACGAGATCAGGGGGCATTGAAGGGCAAAAATTACTTCGATAACTTCTTCGATAACTCCTCCAAGCCATGGTTCTATAAATATAAAAAATTGAAACGCAACACAATCGTATGGATAAATCGACTGAGAGCAAACCACTACAATTTGAAGTCATCATTAGCCCGGATAGGAATAATCAGCGACCCCGCTGGCGAATGCGGGCACCCAGAGGAAGACGTTGATCATATTGTTTGGCAGTGCCCGAGGTTCACTGAACAAAGGAAAAGAATGGAAGAGAGAATTGTTAAACTTTGTCCAACACCACGTATTATGTCAAACATCTTGTATAATATGAACCCAATCGTCATTAAATCCATAGATAAGTTTCTTATAGAATGCGAACTTCGTATATAACTGAAACATGAACGCTTGAAGTATTTAAGACTAAACATGAATATATTCATATAAATTATATATGTATAATTCGTAAACATGCTATATCACATCAGCTAATAGACCTCGAAATGAGGTCTCTAAAGCTCTATAATAAAAAAAAAAAAAACCAAAATGATTTTTTGTTTGATTTTCTATTCAATTTCCTATCAGATTTCTCTCAGCTTTTCCTTTAACACTGTAGGGTTTTCTCTCTGGAATATTCTCTAAGAAATTTTTTTGAATTATTTATAGCATTTAAGTGTAGGGTGCATAAACATAAAAAAAATCCGTGATTTTGATTGTTTAAAAATTTGATTTATTTTTTCTTCTTTTCTTGTCTTCGGTGATTCCTCAGTCCTTCTGAAATCCAATGTCGCACATTTTCCAGCGACAGCAGGTGTTCGAGAAAAATACGCTTCCGTTCATTAAGGTTGTTGTCGCGAGAGAGTCAGGCTTAAAATTTACTACGCTCCGGGTTGATCTTCTGCTAAGCGGAGAATACGAGTTAGAATATAAACTTTTGCGGGTGTACAATTCCACTCGACTCACGCACACAAAAATCTACCATGCATGGATACATGTACACACAGCTAACGCTAAATGGTGCCGATTGTGGCAACCGCGCGCAGCGAGTCTCTGTTTTCATGTTTCTCTCTTTCTCACTCATTGTATTTATTTTATTTATGAATCGTCCCTTTGATTCGTAATTGACTATTCCAAATAGATTCGCGCCACTCGAGCAAAAAGTGTTGTTGTCGCGTCGCGCGCAACAGACTCATGCGTTCCGCCCACTGGGAGAAATAATGCTACTTTGAAAATTTATTACTCTACTACGAAACTGATGATCACTTTCTTTTTTTTTTCAGTATATTGGCGGTCACTATTTCTTCGTTCTGTGTTAATTTCATCAAAAAATGTGGAGTTGTTTTTTTTTTAATAAAAACGGTGAAATGCATTTGAACCCATGTTTTAATTCAAAAAATCATATCTCAGCTCAAAAACTGACGATTGGTTTTTTGTTGTGCTCATTTTGGAGGGAATTTTAAGAGGTATCTATAGCAAAAATTTTTAAAAAATCTGTCGAAAAACGGGTTTACACGACAACAACCTTAATGGTTTGATTCTCTGTGATAGGCTTCGTTTCCTGCTCTGTTCGACTTCTCCCTACGATTTTCAAGTTCTCCCCGCTTCTTACAATTCGCAAGAGCAGGAGCTGCTTATCCTTATGCTTTATATGTAATTTTAAAATGACTTATAAAGCATAAGGATAAGTATTATTTTATAAGTAATTAGTATTATTATTATTAGTAATATTTTATAAGTAATTTTAAAATTACTTATAAAGCTGTAACGGGATTTTTGGAAATCCCCCACATGAAACTAAATGTTGGGTTAAGTTCTCTAAAATTCTGCCATCGCGACTCCCTTCCGGGAATTACTCGAATCGTCGAGGGGTGTGGGGACTGGGACCCGAGTGCTTAGGGTGTTAGGAGGCCTAAGGACAGGCAACAGCACAGGGCGGACACGGGGAAACATTCCCAGCTCCCCTACGGGACTTGCTGCCATATTACATAGGACTCATACTGGCGTATGAGCGCTCCATGTTAGATGGGGTGGGCATTCGAGCGGCTGATCCTTCGAAGGGGTCAGTGGCGACGCTCGAATTCGGCGCGCTCCAGGAGAAGCTAATGCCAGGGATATCCTCCCTGCGGCGAGGGCAGCACGTCCCGGCACACGGCAGCTC